AGATGAAAAATAATTACTTTATTTAATTACACTAAAACCCCATAAGTTAAGAATATTACAAAAAAGTTATGCATCCATACCCTTTACAAGAAAAGTAAACACTTAACATACTTTTCTAAGAAAGTAAAAATACACATAGTATGGAATTTAAATATCGTGGATACATACAAAATCATAATCAAATCCGAATACGAAAAGTGAGGTTGTGTCAACAAAGTGACAAAGGGGAAAAAGACGAAAAGTGAATAGTGTCGAAAAATGTGGAAATGACGCGGTCCTTAAAGGAAGTTGTCAATCCAAAAGAAAGAGTGTCAGAAACCATTTCGAGTATTCAAGACAACACTAAGTGACAAAGAAAGTTCAACAACAAAAAAAATTCATCCGTAAAATTCTGAGGAAAAAAGGAAATGAAAGAAATGACCAGGTCATTACACATTTGGTCGGATGAAACCTTTCATCCTCAAATCATCAAGCTACCTCTTCAATTCTTCTAATTCAACTGGTGCCATATGATACGGTGCCATAGAAATCAGCGCGGTACCGGGTATCAAATCAATAGTAAACTCCACTTTTCAGTGTGGAGGCAACTCTGTCAAATCCTCCGAAAACACATCCAGAAAATCACGAACAACCGCAGGATAGTCTTCTTCCAAAATATCATCTTCTTCAGCTAGAAGACTAGCCAAGAAGTAATCAGCATGACTCCATCCACGAACTCCATAAAACGATGAAGTGTAGGAATCACTCTGATCTCCCTCAGGAGTGCAAACTGTGACTTTACCTCTGAAACAGTCGATCGTGGCACGAAAGGAAGCTAACAATCCATCCCGAGAATGACATCAAAGGTAGTCATCTCCAGGAGGATGAGGTCAAACACAAAAGTCCGCCCGGCTATGACGATAGAACAATCCCTCACAACTTTGCTCAAAGATACTGAAACCCCAACTGGCGTATCAACACACAACGCCTAATCCATGAAACTGACCCCTAACCCCGTTGCAAGTACAAATGATGATGAAATGAAGGAATAAGATGCACTAGAGTTAAACAAAATACGGGCCCAAGAACCAAACACTAGAAATATACCTCGGATAACTGATGGACCAGAAGATGCATCGGCCTGAGCAAGTGCAAAGACACGTCCCTGTGGTGCCTATGCCTGAGAACTGCCAACCTGAACACCTAACTGCTGCACTGACATAGTAGGAGTATCCCTCCTAACTGGCCATGAACTTTGAGAGGACATAGCAGGTTGTGGTGGTGGTGGTCTGAAACCTGATTGAACTATAACCGACTGTGACGGCCTCTATTATGACCCTCTACCACTACCGGTGCCTACTCCCTAATTAGGATAATTATTAACCATATGACCCTGCTGGCCACAACCAAAGCAAACCCCATAACTAACCGATGCCTATGGACACTCTAACTTGTTGTGACCCGGTTGATTACAGCGATAACAAATGATACCACTCCTGGCAGACCCTGCTGGCATAGGGTAGTAGGAACGGATCATACAGACTACTGCCCTGAAACTGAGATGAACTACCTCTGTTCCTCTTCCATGAAGGTCCCTCTAAAGATGACCATGCATTCCTTTTTTGTTTCCACTGTTCCCTTCTTGCATCTTTATCTTTGGCCTCCACCTATAGCTTCAATGCTCTTTCCACTACCTCAGAATAAACCTTGATGCCCTATGCCATTAACAACGGCCTTATTTTGTAATCAAGACCGGAAATAAACTTTCAAGTCTTATCAACTTCATCTCTCACCATCTCTGGGGCAAAGCGGGAAAGAGAAGTGAACTTGTTCTCGTATTCTGTCACTGACATATTGCCTTGAATAAGGCCATTAAACTGGTCCCTTAGTTCCCACCTCTTGGGAGCAGGGAAATACTTCTCATAAAACAACTCCTTGAACCTATCCCAACTCATCTTTTCAATCTTATACTGATTTGTGACTGACTTCCACCAAAGCTTGGCATCTTTTGAAAACTTGTAAGTGGCTAAAATGATTTTCAAGTGATCATCCATTACATCTATAGAAGTCAAATGGGTTTCCACTTGGTCCATGTAGTCGTCCGCTACCATTGGATCTGCACCACCCTCAAACATCACTGGCAATAACTTAGAAAACCCTTTAATAATCTTGAGACGTTTCTGTGCTGGCGTCTCCTCTACCTGAACTACCGGTTGTGGTACCGGCTGCTGATGAGTAGCAATTGTAGCCCTCAAGGCTCTCTGTAATAAAGGATTTAATGCTAGTTCCGCCAAACCTTCACCCTCTTCAATGGGTTTCTCAACATCATCCCTTCTGGTGGAAACACTTCTTGGGGTAATCAAATCACTAAGAAGTGTATCTTATTCATTTTGCTCCGCCGGATTAGAGTTAGAGCTTTCACCAGCATCACCTCTTGTCGGCATAGAACCAATACCTCTGGGTTCCTTTCGTGGCAGCATCGTACTATAAAACAAGAAAACAGTTCAATAACGATAACACTAAGGTCCAACCGTGAACAACTCAACATAGAAGGATACTATACTAATACTTAGCATGCAAGACTATGCAATGAATACATTAATATAAGCATATAAACACGTAAACACATAAACAAGTAAACAGTTAAGCATATTTTTTCACATAGCAAAACACTTTAACAAATAATCACATAAACTATGCAAATGACTTCCCAAACAATTCTATGTAGGCCTCTACCCGTCATCCTAATGGTTTTTGAACCATTACTCTGATACCAAATTTGTAACGACCCTAAAATGATACAAATTAAAAATTAAAAATTAAAAAAAAAATTAAAAAAAAAAATTGGCATGACCTCTGCTAAAAAGGGTCCTACAACAACCTGCTTAAATGCATAAAAATGCAAAGGCCTCTCCTAAACCTTCAAAATTTACCAAACCTATCCCAACATAATGCAAATAATACATTTCAACATTTCTTTCATCCATTCATTTTGCTTTAACATAGTTCAGCTCATGGTGGAACAATTATATACTATTTAATCCAAATATCATAATTATAGTTCCAAAAATATTGTTAAGATCAAAAGTCTATGTCATACAACGTTAAGATAACTTATATCAAAATTACAGCCCATGAATATAACTACAATAACAAGAGTTCATAAGTCTCAGTACATAATAAAATATGCTAAGTTTTACAAAAATAGTTGGACTTAGATACAAAAATAACAAAATGATCATCTGTCCATACTAGGCCTGTGGTGGAACGTCATCCGCCACTTCATTCCCGTTTCCTGAAAAATGTTAAAATGAAGAGGTGAGCATAAGCTCAGTAGGAAGTGCCTAAGGCACACCTCTTGATTGGGATCATACCATGCCGGGAGTAAAAATATAATTACGATACCACATCATTAATCCAATATCACAAATAAATATGCCATGCAATGTCACTCCCTATTTTCCAATACCATTTCCATTATCATTTCCAAACCTTTAGTGAATCCGTCCCGTGGCAACTCCATGGCGGCACGAGAGGAGGATTGACCACTATCCCTGACCCATGGCAACTCGATGGCGTCATTTGGGCCAGGTAACTCAACCACACTAGGCGATCTCCCTAGTCCCATTTACGCCTCACTAACACCACGGTCCCTAGGCAACTCCTAGGCGGCCGGGTTTCTCACAAAATCCTTTTCAAAATTCTTTCCCAAAATATATATATATATATATATATATATATATATATATATATTTTCAAATTCAAGTTCCCATCTCTTTCCCAATGAAGTGCATAGATGCTTCATGTCTTTTATGTCATATCAACATTTATCATCACATACCAATTTTAAGATTTAACTACTTAGCATGCTTCACAAGAAATTCCAAAGAAATAACATATTTCCTTCAACAAAATTCTAGCATGGTAAGCAAGTAAGACATGGAATTAAATTCCTATAAATATGCTATTTCATGTAACACCAATTGAAATACATAGACACGTATCTCATTACAACAATATGATCATTTTAAGGAAAACTAACACAATTTAACATGCTCGACAACAAATCAAGTAAGATGATTCACAAAGGAGTAAGAAAAGTGGATTAGGAACCCTACCTCCAAAATTATGAAAATCTCCAAATCTTGTGCCTTAATTTCGAAATCCCTAGAGTTGGCCAAACAAGGAATTGTTTACACTCACGCGTAGATCTCGCCGAGCTCTCTGATTTGGCGCAAACGGCACCCAAAAATACCACTTGGTGAGGGAGAAATCAATGAGTGAAGTTTGTGGGAAAAAGAAAAGAAAAAGAAAAGCAGAGAAGGAAAGAGAAGCCGCGTGAGAGAGATGAGAGAAATGGGTCTGAAATGACCCTTTGTCATTGCTTAATAAACAGGTGGGTCCCACCAACTAATATATATATATTCATTAACATTACAACATGGATCTCCTTGCCAGTTTCTTGTCACTTTATAGATTGACTTTATGCTCATCATAGCAGCAACTAATATTTCAAAATGAAAGCATGCATATGAGAGAGTTAATTAGAACATGAGGAAGAATGAAAAAATATCAAAGGTAATTGGAAAGAACATGATTACCATCTTTGTCATCTGTTTGCTAGTATAGAAACTGTTTTACAACATAAATCTCGATGGCATTGATGATGGGAGGGAGATTTGAATTACTGGTCTTACTGACTGAAAGCTCATAATTTGGATAACTCATCAGAGGTGATGTGCTGTATATCGTAGTTGATGACAAATAAACTGGAGAAACAGGTTTTTTATACACTTGCTTCCCATTCAAGTAAATGTTTAATCCTCTGGTTTGGTTTTCTTGCAACACTTGAACTTCCGCGAAGTATAAGTACATATAAAATTGGTCTGTGCTACTGTCAGGCTCCCATGAATAGTATAAGGAATCTTTGCTAACATTTGGTGTGATGGCAGAGCTCATGACTTTAGATGGTGGCTGGTACAGACCATCCGATTCAATTATCGAATCCAATGTTGGGGTACTTAACTTTGTGCGTTCTGGCTATATGGCCTCCACACGCTATCATAAACATCATCTTTGTATCTGAGAGACATTAGAACCACAGGCATGACTCATGAGGATATATATATATAAATATATCAAGTACTACAAAAATTCAAATGAAGGGGAAACTTAATTGATTCTTCCTAGCTAGTTAATTTCTAAATTCAGATAGGAAAGACCAACCTGATATTTTCACTGACATAGTCATCCCTTATTGAACCCAAATCTTGACGCAACCAGAATTCTAGTCGTACATTATTTTCTCTTTCATACATAGAATTATTCAAAGGCCTTAACTCCAATGCTGAGATGAAAGGTGTTCCATGGCCTGTGTTTACAAGACAAACATTTATATAATCTTTAGTGGGAACATGTATGATCTCCTTCCTCCAAGTAGAGGTTGAATAGTAGATTGTCACTGTTTTCCAAAAATTAACTCCAATGTGCAGATCGAAAATTGGTGGCTGCTTTTGATCATCATAATTTCCATACAAGAACCACGCTCTTATCAAATATTTATTACCTCTCCCTCCTTGAGGTCTTAGTGTATAACAGTTTCTGGTTCCTTCAGGAAAGCTTCTAACATTCAGAAACTGTTGTCCGCCTGAGTTAGTAAAAAATTCAGATGATATAGGCATGCTCAAACCAGTCTCCACAATGTTTGCATCTGCACTATAATGTAGTCCTGTTGTCGTGTCAGTGTAGCTCGAAGCTTCACGCATCCCACAATCTATGCTTATGAATCCTGCAAGAGATTTGTTGGAGTTAATCTGGAAAAAGAGCAGTGCTATGAACAGTTGCGCAAACGATTAGGGAGAGAGTTAGTGAAACTCGCATACCAACTTTACGCCCACAATTTTCTACTTTAGAAGGTGAGAAAGTATCATTAAGTAACGTCGTTTGATAGTCTAGAGTTGTCTTGTTCTGTTAGATGTAAGAAAACCCACTTGAAGCTTTGTTTATTTCGACAAAAAAAAATTTATGTAGGACGTTTCACAAGTAAAGCCATTTTTTTCTCTCTTATTTTCTGTTATTTGATTACAATCGTTAAAATGTTTTTCAAATCCAAGTCTAGAAGAGTAACAAATGCAAAATCTATTCGCAGACAGTTAAAAAAAATTCAATTTGACATTTTATCAAACAATTAGTAGTCAATTCAGATGCACACAAATTCACCAATCATGAGTAAGCAAGAGCAATGAACACCAAACCCCATAACAAACCATAACCTTTGTTACCAAAATCTCAAATCCACCATCAATAAGCAAGCACTCTTCACAGGATCTCTCCCTCCCACTAGCTTCGGTTTAGAGATACTTTACAAAGTGGATCGATTTTAAAGTTGGAAAAATGACATAACTCAAGTGAAATTGGATCCATATGCCATTTTCAGGCCATTAGTGAGTGCAAAAATTAAAAAAAAAATAAAATAAATAAATCGTACTATTGATATAGTGTAAAAAGTTCGTATATGGTATAAAACACTCCACTACTTTTAATTTGGTTCAAATACTCCCCTATCTACATAAAAAGACGTGCCAATAAGATGAATAATATTTAAAAAATAAAGTAAGGTAAAATTATCATTTTAGACAAGAACACATCTTTCAACCCTGATTGGTTAGGTAGCATTATAGAAAAAAAATATGTGTACAAAAATTTATGTAAGGAAAATACTTCCACATCCTTGCTGTCGTGGCCACTTGTTGCTACGCCATGTGTCCAATACTAATGCTCATTTTTGCAGGTTAAACCCACTTCCCCTTGTGAGTCTCTTCTCTTTCATTAGCCTTAGCCTCCGTCTTTCCACTCTTTCTCCCACCACTATCTTATGTTTTACCACCACATAGACATAGAAGCTTCCACTCTTCAATTCCCTCAAACTCAAGGCTAGAGCTCTCTTTCTGTTAATCCTATCACTGAAACCTTGCATTTAGAATGTAATATTAATTTTGATTTTGTTTTGTTAAAATTAAGTGTCCGGCGGCGAAGGTGGAGGTGATGTTCTAACACTCGGCGGCACGTCCGCGGTGGCGAAGGTAAACTCGTCTTCATTGTTTACTTCGATTATTGGATCTGAATGCTTGAGATCAGATTTGGGAATGAATTCGAGCATGGTAGCGCCACGTTGGAGAGGAGGGAGAGGGGAAGATGAGGGGAGGCGAAGGGAGGGTATTGTAGGAGGGTGGTGCAATGGAGGCGAGGAGAAGGGAACCGGTGGCAGAGTTGGGAATTGGAAGGGTTGGACCTCGCCGTGGGCGTAGTTGAAGAGGGCGGCGACGGTGTTCTTGAGAGCCATGGTGTAGCTGAAATGTGCCACCGTGAAGGCGTTGAGGATGATGGCAGTGATGGGGTAGGAGAAGGAGTGGAAAGGCGGAGGCTGAGGTCGATGAAAATTTGGGTCTTTTGCATTTTAGAGGGAGAAAGAAGAGACTAACAAGGGGAAGCAGGTTTAACCCGCAAAAATGGGCAATGCCCATTTTTAATATTGGACACATCGCTTAACAACATGTGGCCACGTCAGCAGGGAGAAAAAAAAATAAAAAATGCATAATAGGAAAAGAGAGGGGCAAATTAGGGTTTTTAAATTTACGTCAATTTTGACCAAAAGTGGTTATATGGGTTTATTTGCACATTTTGAATTTTTGAATTTTTTTTTTCTTTTATTTCCAAACGAATTTTTCGTACTTAGTATATATATATATATATATATATATATATAGTTGATCTTTTACTGTACATAAGATTTTTTATAATACAGACTTTGGTTAGGATTGTTTTAGTTTCTCTTTGCAAGACTATTTTGATGTTTGGTTGCTTTGGTTAGGATTGCTTTTTATATCTATATTCATATTTATATTAGCATTGATGTTTGACTTAACAATTGGGTTTAGAAAAATAATTCAAAACTACAGAATGGTCTAATTTTAATTAGAATGGTTTTATATAATTTCCATTGGACAACCATAAATACCCTAAAGTTTTGAGGTATTTGTTATTTCTTTTTATTGGTTTTTCCTGGACCGCCTTTTTTTAACAATTTGATTGCATTCTCTTAACCGAATTCTCACTTTTTTGTTTGCTTTTCCAGGAAGGATAAATAATAAGCTGACTTTGTTGATCTTACTCAACTATATATCTATCGTCCATTAGCTATTTTATTCATCGATTCTCGATGGCATTACAGATTGGCTTGTAATCGGTTGCATTGGATCCAACTTAATACTTTGACCTAGAACAAGAGTCAATAATTACCACTGTCTCATAGTTATTAAATTGCCCGTGCTGATGTTTATATGTTGTGTTGAATTACAATTTTATTGTCTGTTTTTTAACAATTTGATTGCATTCTCTTAACTGAATTCTCACTTTTTTGTTTGCTTTTCTAGGAAGGATAAATAATAAGTTGACAATGAAATGAACGGTTAGTGAAGTGGAAAAAGTGAGTGAACAAAATACCGAAGCTTCAACTTCAAAATCATCCCAACCACCTCCGAAGAAGAGACAGGGTCCGACACGATGCAAGAATGTCATAGACGCGAAAACCTTATTACCTTTAAGGTACATATATATATATAAATCATCTTATATAGTTTACATAATTAGACTATATTCAATATGATGGAGAAAAAAGGATTTCTATCTTTATTTTTGTTCTAAACATCTACAATTGTTAATTTTTGTTTAGGGTTAATAAGTTTGGACAGCCGATCGGTCCTGGGAGTGGTACATATACTAATTATCTAGGAACACTTGCCCGGAAGGGTGAATTAACTCCTTTGTGCTACAAAACTTGGTAGGAGATGCCTAAACAGCTGAAGGAGGATATGTGGAACATTGTAAAGATAAAACCCTTCAATAACATTAAAATAATTTTTATGGAAAAAGTGGACTAACATACAACAATTATCACATTTTCAGGGAAAATATGATGTGGGAATCATGACAAAACAGTGGACAATATCCTCCATCGGAAAAAAATGAAGGGGGTACAAGTGTGAGTTGAAAAATGAATACTACTCAGTTAGGGATACAGATGAAGAAAGATTGACAAACCCACCACCTAATGTTGAAAAGGAGCATTGGGAATTTTTGGTTAGGCATTGGGGTACGCCTATGGCGAAGGTAATCCTCCATCTATCACAATGTTTTTTTGTCCTATTACAATTGGGGAGTAAAAGTACCCTATTGATTTGATCATATTACGTATGAGAGACTTTGACGCTATACTGGGTATGGATTGGTTGGCTAGATATCATGCTCAATTGGATTGTCATGAGAAGATTATTGTATTCTCAATTCCGGGACAGTTACCTTCTCGATATAAGTGTAGGGAGTTCGAGGGTACCATGACTATGGGATTTCTCGCACACATTAAGGTGATTGAGTAACGCGTGACTATAGAGCAGTTGCCTATAATGTCAGAGTATACAGATGTGTTTCGAGATATCCCGGGTTTGCCTCCTAGGAGGGCAGTGGATTTCTACATCGACCTCACTCCTGGTATTTCACCTATCTCTAGGGCACCCTACAGAATGGTGCCAGTTGAATTGAATGAGTTGAAGAAGCAGACTCAAGAGTTGCAAGATTGGGGGTTTATTCGACCTAGCACATCACCTTGGGGAGCACTTGTTCTATTTGTCAAAAAGAAAGATAGGTCACTCCGCTTATGTGTTGACTATTGTGTGTTGAATAAGGTCACTATTAAGAATAAGTACCCATTGCCACGCATTGATGATTTGTTTGATCAACTCAGAGGGGCGTAGTTGTTCTCTAAGATTGACTTGAGGACTGGGTACCATCAGCTGAGGATTAGGGAGGAGGATATTCCTAAGACTGCCTTCAGGACTCGTTATGGCCTCTATGAGTTCTTAGTCATGCCTTTTGGATTGACTAACGCTCCGGCAGCTTTTATGGATTTGATGAACAGAGTGTTTTGACCTTACTTGATTAGTTTGTTGTGGTATTTTTTGATGACATCTTGATATATTCCAAGACTAAGGAGGAGTATGAGAGACACTTGAGCATTACACTTCAGACTTTGCATGAGCATCAGCTCTTTGCTAAGTTTAAGAAGTATGACTTTTGACAGGAGTAAATTCAGTTTTTGGGGTATGTGATCTCTAAGGATGGAGTTTTAATAGATTCTGCCAAGGTGGAGGCTATGATGAGTTGGAAACGGCCTACTACTGTCACTGAGATTCGTAGTTTCTTAGGACTGGAAAGATACTACAGGCGCTTCATTGCGGGTTTCTCTAAGATTGCTGCACCTTTGACCCGTTTGACTAGGAAGGATGTGAAGTTTGTTTGGGACCACCGTTGTAAGCAGGCATTTGAGGAGTTGAAGACGAGATTGACTTCGGCACCAGTTCTTACCATTCCTGTTAGTGGTGAGAGATTTGTGATCTACACAGATGCATCACATCAGGGTCTTGACTATGTTTTGATGCAAGATGGTAAGGTGGTAGCATATGCCTCTAGGCAGCTTAAGCCACATGAGCGGAATTACCCTACACATGACCTAAAATTGGCAGCAGTGGTTCTTACATTGAAGGTGTGGAGGCATTACTTGTATGACGAGGAATTTGAGTTATTCTCTGATCACAAGAGTCTCAAGTACCTCTACACTCAGAAAGAGTTAAATATGAGGCAACAGAGGTGGATGGAGAAGATGAAGGATTTTGATATAACCCTTCAGTATCATCCTGGAAAGGCGAATGTGGTAGTAGATGCCTCGAGTCAGAAACCGAGAGGATTAGTTACCTTTATGATGATTCAGGAGTGGATGATGTTAGAGGCATTGGCA